GAAAAGAATCCTGGTCACCCAAGCCTTTGGGTTTGACCGCCACATAACACCAAGGCTCTGGGGTTTTCTGCATGGTACACAAGGAGTGGTTTTATTTTGCAGTCACCAGAAGCATTAGCACAAAGAAGGAGGGTAAGCCTGTCTTTCATTGGCTTATGGCCAGAAGTTTCCTCCCTTGAAATGTATGTACGGCAAGGCATTTTTTTCCCAAAAAGTCCAGTTTCATCACAGTGGAATACCTGCTGAGAAACAAAGCCTCCCTCTTTAATCACATTCAAAAAAATGTCATGGTGTTCCTTAGCTGCTTCCTTATCTGCACTAGCAGCATCACCATGTATCACAACACTGTGTAATTTATTTCTTCTGAAACCAGTAAACCATCCCTTGGTACCCCTAAACACTGGCACATCACTATCACTTCCACTGGGAGTCTTGGCTTTAAGGTCCTCAAACAATTGTCTGGCCTTCTCACAAATTATAGCTTCACTAATGCTATCACCTGCCATTTCTTTCTCCTTTATCCACACTAAGAGTAAATTTTCCATCTCCTCAATCACATTACACCTTGCTTTGCTAAGTCTAGAGATTCCCTTAGCCACTTGCACAGTTTTCATCTCTTTATTCTTCAAAATCGTACATATAGTCGATTTAGCCATCCCATATTCACCACTAAGTTTCGCAATGCTTGTTCCATTCTCACGTTTCTTTATGATTTCTTTCTTAGTTTCAAGAGTTATGAGCTTTCTCACTCGCTTTGGACGATTCATTGTTACAATTGTTCACTTGTATAACAAAATATATATACATATATATATATATATATATATATATATATATATATATATATATATATATATATATATATATATATATATATATATATATATATATATATATATATATATATATATATATATATATATATATATATATATATATATATATATATATATATTAAAGAGTGAACTAAAAGACTAACTATAAGTGTCCCATAAGTTTCCATACAACGTATCACCAACGCCATTACAAGCATAACTTGCCCCAGTGGTCAAGATATTATGGCATTGAATGTTACAGAGTATTTCAAATAAATTTTGTTTAGTTCTGTAAATAGAGACTGGTGGTCGAGACCCTTGGGGGGTGAAACTGACCGCTCACCCCCAAAAGGTCATCTCCCACCCCCCACCCCTGCCTCTGTCATTCTTACTGGAACTCTACAAAATATTGTTTATTTGTTATTTATTAATTAGTAAAGATAGGTTACTGTAATAATTTTATCTTATTAATACCAGTACTACCGTTCATATATAGTAAAATACAAATTTTTACCTTATTATTCAGCTTGTAACTTAATTTTTATGCAATTTACTTATTATATATTGTATTTTTTCTATACAGTAATACCCCGATTTACGCGGTTTCGCTTTGCTCGATTCTACATTTACACAGTACCTAGCCAGAACCGGAATTTCATTTTACACGGTGCATCTACGAGTATACGCGGGTGAAAGTATAATTTTTTTTATTTAGCTCATAAAATTCATAAAAATTACCCGGCCAGAATATAATTTACATTGCTAGGATTCTAACAATATGATGATCATTTTGAATATAAACATCATGGATTTTGCATTTCGGCATACAAATTTTAGATCTAATGTAATAATTTGGTTTACACAAAGCAAATATTTTATCTTTTGTGCAAAATATATGAAGTTTACATTCAAAATATTCCCTGACGTGCAAGGAATCCAGAAATGTCTTATATTATCCTAACTTTAGTCTGAGGTATTATTTATTACTAAAAATGTAAATATACTGTTTTCTCCCAAACAATTCTCTGGTAGGGAGGGAAGGTGGGGGTGGGGGGGGTAGGGATGGACCCAGCCAGCTGTAGAGAGGAGGAGGTGAAGGTGGGGTATTTTGATTGACAGATAGTGTCTCGGTGAAGAATTTTTTTTTTTATTTACTGAAGATATTTGTTTTAGCTCATAAAATTCATACAAATTACTCGGCCAGAATATAATTTACATTGCTAGAATTCTTACAATATGAAGATCATTTTGAATATAAACATCATGTATTTTGCATTAGACATACAAATTTTAAATCTAATGTAATAATTTGGTTTACACAAAGCAAATATTTTACCTTTTGTGCAAAATATATGAAGTTTACATTCAAAATAATCCCTGACCTGCAAGGAATCCAGAAATGTCAATTATATTATCCTAACTTTAGTCTGAGGTATTATTTATTACTATACCTTAAAATCTAGTGTTTTCACCCAAACATTTCTCAGAGAAGTAGGAGCCAGCGAGCTGGGAAGAGGAGTTGGGTGCATTATTTGAATGGACATTAGCCGCAGGCTGTGTTCTCTTAAATATTAATTGTGTGTCCATACCATCATAAAAATTAAGATGTTATTTTACTACAACATGGTATTGTGTCGGGAAAAAGTGGGTTTTGAAATTTGAGCCAGTCTCATTGAATTAATCCCATATGTTCATTGTTCACTTCTTAGCGATTTTCACTTTCTCACGGTACCCTGGGTTTAATTGACGGCGTAAATCGATTACTGTAATGTGTTAATATTTCGAATCCTAATGTAGTCAACCCTCACTTTCTGGCGGTCCCACATTCACATTTCACGTTACAACGGTGCCCTGCGGAGCCAGGATGCTCACATTCCGCGGTGCGTGTACCCCTTTACGCGGAGAGCGGCTGGCAAGCCGGGCCATTTTTGGATCCAAACCTCCCGCCATCCGCCATGTTGTGTAAGCGGCGCGAACATGGTGCGCACAAGGTCGCCCAGTCATCAAAACATTACCGAGTTCTTCACCGCCACCCACCACAGCCGGCCCAAGTCAGTGATAGTGATAATTATAGTGAAGATATGGACTTATATGGACTTTGAGGGGTTTGACAAAGAGGCCCTGCAAGCCTCTATGGTGGATAGTGATACAATTGATACAAGTGATACAGGTGGGGGCCAATAATCTGCCCTCTGCCTCGGAACCAACCGCCCATTCCCGTGTGCCCAGCCATCTTTTCTACTAATAGCAAGATGGTAAAAACCTAATATTATTGATATTTCTCTTAATTATTAATTGTGTGTGCATACTATCATAAAGTTAAGATAATATTTTTACTACAACATAGTTGTGTGTCGTCAAAAAGTGGAGTTTGGGGGTCGGCCCGGTCTCTATTTCAATTAATCCCATATGTTATGTTATTCACTTTACGCGTTTCTCACTTTCCGCGGTACCCTGTGGGTTACATTAACCGCGTAAAGTGAGGGTTGACTGTACTATCGGACTAGCCGTGTGTCTGTCTTTGTCTGTTCTGGGCAGCAGAAACAGCACAATCATTTTTCATCAAACTTGGTGGAAAAATAAAAAAAAAATCATAGAGTGGAACAAACCTGGTCCCATGTCGATGGTTTCTTTAGGAAGGCATTAATTAACAATTTTATTTACGATGGAAAACGATGCAAGTCTACGGACTTGGCGCACCCTAATTAACCATGCAAGTCTACGGACTTGCCGCACCCTCATTTGCTGTACGCTAGCCAAGCACTAGCGTTCAAACTTTCCTTGAGCACAAAGGTGCCCGCAATCACTTGGAGGGTGTGTGTTGGAGGGTGTGTGTTGGTGGTGTTGGAGGGTGTGTGTTGGAGGGTGTGTGTTGGAGGGTGTGTGTTGGTGGTGTTGGAGGGTGTGTGTTGGAGGGTGTGTGTTGGAGGGTGTGTGTTGGAGGGTGTGTGTGTTGGAGGTGTGTGTTGGTGTTGGAGGTGTGTTGGTGGTGTTGGAGGGTGTGTGTTGGTGGTGTTGGAGGGTGTGTGTTGGTGGTGTTGGAGGGTGTGTGTTGGTGGTGTTGGAGGGCGTGTTGGTGGTGTTGGAGGGTGTGTGTTGGTGGTGTTGGAGTGTGTGTGTGTATGATGTTGAGGTGTGTTCCTGATTCCCGACAGAGACACACTCGGGAATTAAGATAACAAGCATCCAGCGAGGGTCTTGTTGTGTAACAGCATGGAGGCGAGATAAACATCAGCAGTAGAGGAGATTATCGCATGGCAACACTGGTGTATGTTAGACTCCTTTCCACTCCTCTCTAATCACCCACACCTTTCTGCTTTCTCACTCCATATTTTAAAATGTTATGTACCGTAATGTTGAAGGAATACAACTTTGCTCACTTATACTTATATTTATCACAATCTCCCTAAAATATTTTAACTTTCGTGTTTATTCAAGACATCTTCAGGTCGTGAGACCCACTAATCCCCCACCCAAGAAAGGGTGACCTGACATTCCATCCCTGTAAATTCAGTTGCCTCTGAAGATGGCTTCAATAAAGACGAAAATTTAGGTGGTCCAGTGTTCTTAGTATACCGAGAGGTAGCAGTGAACAACACACATGGTGAAATAGTTTAGTAAATCAAGCAAACATAAAGGAAAGCCAGATTTAGCAAAAATTTTGAATTAACGAAGAGGTGGCTCGAATTCGTTTGTTAAATCGAGAAAATACCGTATTATCAAATTATGTGAGGTGAATATCTGAAGGCAGTCCATCCTGATATATTTTGAAAGCTGGAAGACTTTCCCTCCACTTCTCCAGATGCTGTTCAGTGGACTACAGAGGAAGTCTCAAAATAAAAGTGGGGATGTAAGGAAAAAGTAACTTTCATTCAGGTACCCTGCACTCAGCAATGACTGGAGCAGACGATGAGCTTTTTCAAAGGATTTTGCTCTACATTCACCAAAATGTTTCTGGATGATTTAAGATACTTGAAGAATGGTTAATGAGCCTTCATAAAGACCTGGGCATCTTCAAGAAGGTTGCAAGCTACAATGGCCTCAGTCCTGAGCCCCACTAAACATTTGGATGAGTTTTTTTTTTTTAACTAGAGTCCATATGACCATTCACCCTTTACTAATAATGATCCAGTACACTGACAAGCTTGAGATGATGAGTATTAATACAGTGTGCACACCACTCACTTCTCCTCCTGATATTGGTGGTAGTAGACAGTGTCCCGCTGCTCCTCTTCCTCCAACATACGACGCAGGAATTCTTCTTCATCCTCCCTCAGGGTACTTGTCTGTTCCATCATTACTTGGCTTACTTCACAGATTACCTGCACAATATAACACATATAAATCACAATTACTCAAGTCCACTAACAACTCACCAACTCCAAATTTAATAACACAAACTTCATAAATTAAATGTAACAAAGTAATAAACATGTAAGATTTAAAGACTAGACAATAAATTCCTATGACAAATATTTTGACATTTACCTACCTAGAAGGGTGACCGTCTTCAACAATGTTCACAAATGAAGAGATCCTGAAAATCTCATTTTATTATTGAGTCCGGACAGTGAAGTCCATGTATTGTACAGTACCCATGAAATTATGAGTTGTAACCCAGACTAAACCCTGGTGCTGATAACTGCTACTGATGACTGGTGCTGATAACTGGCATTGATGACTGATGATGATGACTGGCACTAATCAAACATCTAGTACAGTTCTCCTACTACAACCCTAGACATTACATAGTGGTGCAGGACATAAAAATCAACACTCAACCATGAGTGCCACAGCAGCTTGCACAACAATTTTCTCTTGTCTGCCAATGGCCATCTCTCATTACCTCATAGAATAATGAGCCTGCCATGCAACCTAAGACGGCACTTGAAAGTCCTACATATACTGCCTACTTTCCACTCTGTAAAAGTGGGTTGGTGTCAGGAAGTGCATCCAGACAAAAAACTTTGTTCAAATTTCCCCGATGGCAACTAAGACACCACAGCATTAATTAATCGCAGCTAACTCATGTAAACATGAAAAAAGGTTGTAAAAAAGTGATGAGGAGGATGACGATGAGCCCAGTTGAACTTCGTGGCAAAAGTAGAAAGACTACAAGGCCCCAAGAACACATGCTCTCAGTGTATAGCCTGGATGTGTTAATCATCTTGGTTATTATTTGAAAATGGAGATTTAGGAAGCTTCACACACTGGCCTATGATTCTGAGGAAGTGCCTGTTGATAAAACACCTTCATAATTCTAATATGACCACGAACTCCCTTATTAACTAAATATTAGAATCATGACACCCATTGTGGAAAATACACAACAGTACCTACTGCAATTCACAACCCCTCCAAGCTCTTACTACTGCTTCTGGGAGTACATCCTGAGAGTGACTCAACAAATCCTTAAAGTCAAATAAAGGCACTGTCGCCAAGCTAGAGATGCACCAAAAGAAACCTCAACAAAGGTTTGAGTTTATATATATATATATATATATATATATATATATATATATATATATATATATATATATATATATATATATATATATATATATATATATAACCAACAACATATACTTCTTTCATATATATATATATATATATATATATATATATATATGCTATATATATATATATATATATATATGCTGTATATGTAACATATATATATAATATATATATATATGCATGCATGCATGCATGCTGATAACCACAAGGAAAGAAGAAAACACGAAGTTCCCAAGCGCTTTCGTGTAATTCACATCTTCAGGGGTGAGTACAGACTAGAGAGAGAAATACAAATCAAGGTGTATATATATATATATACAGACGTGTAATTCACATCTTCAGGGGTGAGTACAGACTAGAGAGAGAAATACAAATCAAGGTGTATATATAGAGAGGAGGGTGAGACCAGGTCCACAATGGTCAGGTATTAGGTAATGACCCTACTAATCTTTAAATAGCACACAACGGTTGGTGGTCAGGTCAGATGGTCAGGTGACCCGGCCTTCTCACCTGGTCACAAATCTTCTTAATTACAAAATTGTCCAGCTTGTACATACCGTTACTCAAATTCATGTTGAATGCTTCGGTATGTTTAATAAGACTAGATTCTATGATGTTCCTACTATCAATTGAATTACATGGTAATACTGAGGAGGCATTATCCCAGTCAATGCAATGCTTGTTATCCCTCAAATGAACAAACAGAGCATTGGATTCCTGGCCTGTCCTAACACTGTATTTGTGTTGTTTAATTCTAGTTGCAAGATCTTTACCTGTCTGGCCCAAGTAAAACATATTACATTCCTTGCAAGGAACTTTATAAATGCAACCAATTGTGTTGTTGGGGGAGTTCTTGATTAACATTTGTTTAACAGTGCATGAGTTTTTAAATGCTACATTGACGTTCCAGGTTTTTAGCTGTGCAGGAATGTGTGAGAAATTTTTGTGAAATGGTAATATTAAGATATTCTTATGGTCATAGGTGGGCTTGGGGTCAGTTCTATAAAAAGTTTTCTTAGTAATGTTTAAGCATTTGTCTATGAAAGATCTAGGGTATTTAAGGTTTGAGCCAATATTATATATATATTTGTATTCCTCATCGATGAATTCCGGACTGCAAATTCTCAAGGCACGTAAAAACATTGTTGAAAATACTGACTGTTTGACTTTATTATGGTGGGCAGAGTAATAATGAATGTATGAACACACATTAGTTGGTTTTCTATAAATACTGAACTTAAAAGTGTTACCTATTCTGTGTATCAGACAGTCTAGGAATGGCAATTTACAGTCTTGCTCTAATTCCACAGTGAATTTGATCGAGAGGGCTAAGTTGTTAAGTTGTGGCAGGAAAGCTTTTAGGTCCTCATTACATGGCCAGAGACATAATACATCATCAACATATCTAAACCAGACTGCTGAAGGTGGTAAAATATTACTTAATAGTTTCTTTTCAAAGAATTCCATATATAGGTTGCTTAATACAGGAATTCTTTGAAAAGAAACTATTAAGTAATATATATATATATATATATATATATATATATATATATATATATATATATATATATATATATATATATATATATATATATATATATATATATATATACCCGTATATATATACACCCGTATATCAGTTTCTATCTGGCCTAAGCAATCATGTGTTTCATATTTTTCAAAGCACTAGCACACAGTCAAACAGGTTATAGCACATGGCCTTTTGAATATCAAATACTGTAGCAAAGTGGTCCCTGTGGCCCCATCAATAAATATTCATTACATACAACTAATATATTGGGACATTAGTAATGGACCTAATTACTGAAATGTATATTCAGCTAGCTAAATTATTTTAAAATTTTAATTAACCAAATATGGCTTTACCTTGTTAAAAAAAAAAGTATACCTGTACTATATAGAGATGATGCTCTACAAAAATTTTAGTCTTAAAAAAAATCAGGTAATTCATTAAGACCACTGCTAACAATACCCTGAGGGTTAGTTAGCACACCTGCTGTACTGAACACAAGATCAAGGGGTCAAGGAGATGGGAAATTAAAGAAACATGGAGGGCTTAATGTGCTAAACTATCTGTTGCAACAAATAATACTTATCCCTACATATATAAGAGTTGTGAGTTGTTGGACAATAGGATGAGCAGTTGTGTGACAAAACAACACCTCTGAAATATATTTATAAAATATCCTCTGAAATTCCTGTCACTTCAAAATTAAATTACATTTACAAATACTTACAGTAAATGTAACTGATAACATACAATACAAATAAAAATCTGATTACAGTTACTAAGTGAAAATTCATGCAAACCTACATACAAATACACAATTAATCATAAGCTTAAATTTTAATTGGTATTGCTACCATGGTTGTTTTAGACGTGCCTCAACTCTTCAACTGCCAAGGTCAAGAAGCACCAGTCACTAGGTTTTATGTTCTACAATAAATAACTGATAATCTAAACCAGGTTGATAATTAATGAGAACTGTATACAGGACAAAACATCCTTCCAAACACTTAGTGACAAAAGAGCCTTATACTTAAAGAAATTGCAAAAAAAAAATTTAAATAAATAAGAATTATTGTCAACCATATGATCCTGCAGTGATGGCCACAAACAATTTTGAAAATATTGAAGGTGTGAGCTGTTGCTGAAATATTCACCAAGATACTGTATAGTGATCACACAAGTAAAGCTAAATTCTATATGGTAGTGTAGTATATGTTCTAACTTGTAACTGACAATACATAAACAAAACTTTTATTCAGGAATTTCATGATAGGATGTCCATTAAACAACTGAAAATTACATAAAAACGTCCAGATTACATGAGTTTCATTGTTGAGTACTGTATCTAGTCTCCCTTAGAGGTTCTTCTCTCCATTACTGCAGTGTTATTACCTATCCTGGCTTGTTTAATGAATCAGTTCTTTACTTATTAAAGTGTGTATAAATTCATAATGTGGTAATTTAATAAAGGTGTACTGATAAAACTGTTCAAGTCTGCTGTGTATACCCAAGTCGACATACAATATATCACACCCAGATTCCTACAATCAGTACTGTAAATGCTAATCTAAACTGCACTAAGACTCCAGCAATCACAAAATATAAACCTGATTCATAGGTGCAAATCCTTCCAACTTTCGAATTAAGACTTCACATACATGACAATGTCTACCTTGACTATCAATTCTACACAGCGTATAGAAAGGCAGCTAAAGCTTATAATTTCTACAAAGTAAAAGTCACACTTAAATGGAATGTATTAACTCCACAGGATATTCATTAACTCCTCTTTATCAGAAAACACACCAAAGGCACATGGGACAACACCAGTCCCAGGAAGCTTCACAAGTGCTAATATAAACTAGGCTTTACAGAATACACAATAATAGACGAACAGAGACGACCAACAGTGTAACATAATACTCCTCCACTCACACGGCAAGGAAGGAAAAACTGGGTCGACTAGTTGGCCTTGGTAAGCTACTGAAGCTCTTGATGCGTGAGTGGTGAAAAAATACCAGCCTTCATCTCTATAGTGGTTCTTTGGACACAATCACTCCTTGGAATTACTCTATGGTCAGCTACAGAACATCATACGCACTGAATCTTGAATCCCAATATTTTACTGTAATTCCTCCCTTTACATCTTCTCCTGCTTCCTTACTTATTCTTCCTCCTATCATGTACACCTACCATGACATCTCACATTCTTTCTATAACATGACTATTTATTACTGTATGAAAACAATGGTGGTTTAAAGAAAGTACAAGTTCTCCAGAGCAAATCAAGCATTATTACTTGTGTCTTCAGAACTGCATTTGTGACTACAGGCTTTTCTTGAATGTCTTCCTCTAAATGTGAGAAAATATATGTTATACATAGACACAAACAGACTGTACTGTTTATACAAATTTTGTGCATGTTTCTGTGTGACACTTAATCTGGTGATGAAAGTAGGTTTAGTATTGCCAGTTGATGGGTTACAGATGACAGCATTAAAATCCTGAACTGACTTCACCTTGAAGTACTTTCTCAGTGTAGTCAACTACAATGATGAAGCACATTATGATACTGAATCCAGAGCAACTGCCATGGATAGACTGCCTCTGGTGCAGAACTTGTGAGATAAAGCCTTCCTTCACTCAGGCCAGCCTCACCTTGTGGTCAAAGGCCTCCAGATCCTCCTCGGCCATCCACATAAACTCAGAAAAGTCAGGTTCAGCGTTGGGATTCATCCTGGCACTACCAAAGCCACCACTGGACTCACTCCCACCAGGGCTATTATCGGGTAAGCGCATGGAAGGAGCTGCCTGCAAGGGGCCATCAACGGGTAATTAGTAATGGGAATTAATATTAATAAAGTAGATTAGTAGTGATAAATTAAGGGTAGGGCATCAGTGCTGAGCCAGAAGGGGTTAATTATCACATGTTTCACTAGGTTACTACAATGTTTAACAACACACACACACACACACACACACACACACACACACACACACACACACACACACACACACACACACACACACACACACACACACACACACACACACACACACACACACACACACACACACACACACACACACACACACACACACACACACACACACACACACACACACACACACACACACACACACACACACACACACACACACACACACACACACACACACACACACACACACACACACACACACACACACACACACACACACACACACACACACACACACACACACACACACACACACACACACACACACACACACACACACACACACACACACACACACACACACACACACACACACACACACACACACACACACACACACACACACACACACACACACACACACACACACACACACACACACACACACACACACACACACACACACACACACACACACACACACACACACACACACACACACACACACACACACACACACACACACACACACACACACACACACACACACACACACACACACACACACACACACACACACACACACACACACACACACACACACACACACACACACACACACACACACACACACACACACACACACACACACACACACACACACACACACACACACACACACACACACACACACACACACACACACACACACACACACACACACACACACACACACACACACACACACACACACACACACACACACACACACACACACACACACACACACACACACACACACACACACACACACACACACACACACACACACACACACACACACACACACACACACACACACACACACACACACACACACACACACACACACACACACACACACACACACACACACACACACACACACACACACACACACACACACACACACACACACACACACACACACACACACACACACACACACACACACACACACACACACACACACACACGAGACAAATTAATGTTTCACAATACTGTACAGAACAATCACACAGCACATCACAATAGTGTACTCACAGCACACACACACACAAAAAAGTTACCATTCAGTCATAATAATCAAAAGACCTCAAAGATTTTGTATTTCTAAATGTCATATTAACACATGCACCACCTGGGATCCTGACAGTAGGTCGAACAAAAACTGTCCCCCAGAAAACATTTTCATAGGTTATGACATTCATAAATTCCATCCTTATAGTATACATTCCCACCAACATGCATGACATTAAACATTTATTATCTCTCTCTTACAGAAAGACAATTTTATGTTTCATTCAGTCTCAGCAAATCTTCAAATTTTAGTTATATCCTTACAGTACAACTTAATCAAGAAAAATGTCCATGTGCAGGCATTAGGGACACACAGACTGCCTCTCAGTGCAAAACTCAAGTACATAAGACTATTTAATGCTAAAAGTTGACTAATGTCCTCACAACTAATTTTCTCCAGCATACCAAAGTAATGCTCCTCTTTTAACTCTATCACCAAAACATTCATTCACATTGCCCACTTAAATAAAGTTTCCCCATTTATCAATTCCCCAAATCAATGCTGTATTTCTGGTTCTCTCCAGGTGCCAATTACCTATCATTATAAAACTACAGAACACATTAATCCTTAACTTTAGTAACTAGGACTCTAAAATACAAGATTGCTCTAATCATCTTCTAATTCCATGTCCAACACCTTGGCAGAAAATCCTCCACCTCACCCCCTCTAATAAAGCCATTTCTCACACCTTACACTTTATTCTGGGCAAAATTTCAACACCATATACTGCACATATTTCATTCTGGGCAAATTTTCAACAGTCTTTCACTTCATAATTACACCAACAGATAAAAATTTTGTCCTACATATGATGATCAGGTTCACTCACTTACTGTTGTAATTTATCCCTTACACACCCACAATACTTGTCACTGGTGGTTGTGGGTACTGTACACACTATGCTTGAGGCCTAAGACCCCTTATGCAGGAAGCTCTTCTTTGCAAGGATAATGTCCCAATCCTAAACCCTTTAAATTGACTTCTAGGATACACTGGAAGACAGAGAAGAATTTTCTATAGTGAAACTCTAAAGTCAACCAAACAAGAGCAACACTATGGAACAGCTACACACTGACAAATGTGTACCTTGAAGAAGAATAAACTAATATGAGAGCAAACTACTGTACCCTGCCTGCATGGTCACAGACAGACACACAAATGGATAAAACATGGCTATTAGTGGATGACATGTGAGAGTACGGTAATAAATGTGACATAAATAAACTGTGTATCTGAAGTATGGGTAATCACAGAAGCTGAGATGTACAAATGTTGTGTGAATTACAATGCAACGTGTACAACTGTGTACCACGAAAAGAGTACGCTTGTGGTGTACTGTACAAGGATGTGCATGTGTGAAACAGAGAACTCAAAAAATTGTATGAAGTAGTCTTAAAATAATCCACACTTAAACAGTATAGTACAGCATGCCCTTCAAATTCGCGGGGGTTAGGTTAACAAAATGGCCGCGAATCGCCAAATCTGACGCAAATAACATTTGCAAGGAGTAGACTAGAGGGTAGACTCAACATTTTTAATACTACATTTGTTTCTGATTATTTGTGAGAGGATTTTCCCATTATTATTTATGTGTGTGTGTATATATATATATATATGGCAGCAGTATATGGCAGGCAGGTATGTTGGTATATAGCAGTAGGCAGAGTGGGCAGGCAGGCAGGCTTGGCATACAGCAGCATACATATATATATAAGGTGTATATAAGGGTTGTTGCATACAGTACAAGGGCATACATAAGCAAGCAAGCATATAAGGTTGTTGTTGTTACATATATTAAGGGCTAGCTGCTGCTGCTGGTTGCTGCTGGCTGCTGCTGGCTACAGGCTATATATATATATATATTACACATACAGTGACCCCTCGTTTAACGAACACCTCGGTTAACGTAATTTCGATTAACGAACTGCCTTCCATAAGGATCTTCAATTCGGTTAACGAAAAAAAATTCGGTTAACGAAATTCTTACGAACCGACCTCAACATGTTTTCGCTTGCACTGACCGGGCAACCAGCTCAAGTATCAGTGCGCCAATACATTAATCGGTTCTAGGGCTTAAATTCCTTACTATTTTAGTAAATATCAAGAAGCTTATACTATTCAATAATTTTAAAAGTTTAATATTCAATTTTTTAGTCATTTTAACAATTATTGAACATAATTGAAGGTAAAGTGACTAGTTTAATGCTTGGCATCCAGCCTCTTAACACAGCAAACAGGAGTTAGTCTCTCTCTGTTTTCACTGGAGGTAACATCTTGCTTGAGACTCTTCAACTAAATGCTTTTTTCTGTTTCCAAGCAAATTATTGGTCATTTTGAAATATATTTTACATATTGACAATATATAATGCAGTGCAGTGTTGATTTAAAGAAAATAATCTTGAATTACACCAAGAGAACTAAAATTTTATGGGTGAAATGGCGCCATAGGGTGACTTCTCTTCCACCCCAATGCCTTCTCTTCTTCCTTCTCCTCCACCCCCACTCTAAATCCCATCATCATCATCCAGGAGCCTTCTACATACACACCTCAAAGTAAGCGAACTTTTCTACCATTTTTGTTGAATTTAGGAAATTTTCGGTGAGCTGGAACCAATTACCAAAAAACCCATTGAAACAATGGTTTCGGTTAACGAACGACCTTCTGGAACGGATTGAGTTCGTTAAACGAGGGGTCACTGTATATCTTGATAAAATCACACGGGGAAAAAGGGAAAAAACGGAGCACCTTAGCTTTCGTCTTTATTCAAGACATCTTCAGAGGCAACTGAATTACATGGACATAGAGGCTTAAATATACAGGGTGACCCTATTAAACATGAGGTCAGGTCATAATGATGTCATCCACTAATCCCCACACCAACACACACGTAGAGGAGCTTAAGAGAAGGGGGCGACGAGACTAGTCAGGTCAGGCCAAAAATAAGGGACCCACTAAATAACTATCCTACATCTAGATCAAAGGTTATCAAAGCATTTTTAACCTTGGGCCACTGACAAATAAATTTATGTAACATATCAGTTTTGAACTGACCATCACTAAGGTTTATTGATTTTAATTCCATAATCAAACTAGCTTCAACCAGAAGTCTTTCTGTGACACAAGATGATTTGAATACTTCTAAGCTTTTTTCCCAAGCGGGAAACTTGTAAAGTGAACAACAGAACATATGGGATTAATTGAAATAGAGACTGGGCCGACCCCCAAACTCCACTTTTTCAGACACAATAACCTACATTGTAGTAAAAATCACTTCTAAATTTATGATGGTATGCACACACAATTAATAATTAAGAGAAATATCAATAATATTAGGTTTTTCAACACTTACATTAGTGGAAAAGATGGCTGGGCACACGGGGATGGGGGGTTGGTTCCGAGGCAGAGGGCAGAGAATTGGCCCTCACCTGTATCACTTGTATCACTATCCACCACAGAGGCTTGCAGGGCCTCTTTGTCAAACCCCTCAAAGTCCATTTAAGTCCATATCCTCACTATCACTGACTTGGGTCGGCTGTGGTGGGTGGCGGGTGAAGAACTCGGTAATGTTTTGATGACTGGGCGACCTTGTGCACACCCTGCCTGCGCCGCTCTCCGCGTAAAAGAGTACATGCACCGTGTAAAGTGAGCATTCCAAGTCTGGCAGGGCACCGCGTAAACGTGGAAATGAGTAAAAAAACCCGCGTAAAGCGGGGTAATATATATATATATATATATATATATATATATA